CACACACACACACACACACACACACACACACACACACACACACACACTCGCGCACAGGCGCGCGCACGCACACACATACACACACACACACACACACACACTCTCGCGCACAGGCGCGCTCACGCACACACATATACACACACACACACACACACACACACTCGCGCACAGGCGCGCGCACACACATACATACACACACACACACACACACACACACACACACATACACAAACACAAAGCGCTCACACGCAATACACACACCACTGTGTTCGTATTCACGTTTTCTTATTGTTGTGTAATCTCCGTACACGATACTGAATGAATTATTGTTATTATTCGAACATAACCAGGTCTTTCTCTGGTTGATTTGGCGACTTCTGGTCATAACGTTTATGATGTTATTATGATAACGTTTATTTACTATGGATGATTTGTCATTACATAAAGTACATCGATCATTGTTTTACCATTTGTACGATCGATCATTATTTGGCCATTTTATTATCTAACCTGGTCTGTATTCGTCCTTAAGAGGAGAATTAACTTAGAGACCGCCATAATCCACTTTAAGAGGTGGTTGTTTTAAGTCACCAGTGATAGGATGCCTTTTAAGATATATATCACATGCGCATATGCCCTTGAGAAGGTAAAGACTCCTTACGAAGGGGGCATATAAGATGTAAACCTACAGAGGCGGACCGTCTGTTGTCAGCTCACGGTAGCCTCCTATACTCTGGCCTTCAGAAGCTAGTCGCTGACCTTGCAGGGTCTGTTGATCACTCGTGATGTAGTTGATACATATGTGAAGTGATGTCTGCTGTCAGCCTTCAGAAGCTGATTTGTCCCAATTCCCCGACGTTGGGATCTATTGAACCTTTAGAGGTTGAGTTATCTGCTTTAAGAAGCCGACGTTGGGATCCATTGAACCTTTAGAGGTTAAGTTATCTGCCTTAAGAAGCCGACTGAGTCCAATTATAATATGTTGTTACTTTCAGGTTTTTGTTGAGTGTCACGGAGTTTTACTGCCATGATATTCATTATTTTTGTGATTATTAATTGTATTAATTTTCATATTAATCTTTGTTGGTAATACCTCTTATGATGTTTGTTAGACTTTGAGAGGTCGCGTGATTCTCTTTACCAGGACTCCTGCGCGGGGCGCGCAGTGGTCAGGAAGGCCGACTATAAGGACACGTTTGCGCGCAGCCACTACACAAGCCATGATACACTCACTACGCATGCGCACCGCGGCGTGCGCCAGCGACAGATCTCCGCCTACGTTCAGTTCGCGCGTTCGCGACCCAGCGTTTGTACGTGTTGTATAGAGTTCCGCCCGCCGCGCTCCGACCGCGCGGCTTTTGATGTTAACATACCGTAATACGTAGGCCTTACGAATAAACTAAGTGTGTATTCTATTGTCGGTGTTTTATTGTGATTCGTAATATTCCCATCACATGATTGTAAGAACATCATGATATTCAATAAAAATAAATATGTTAGTATAAGCCGACACATATTTTTGTATGAATATTGCTTTCAGCCACCAGTTATTAAGACGTTTATGTCTTTATTCCGCTGCCATGAACACCGTCATAAAGTTGCCTGCTTATTACTCTAAAGGATATTTTTTTATAATATCAAGTGACGGCACGAACACGTCGTGCGCCTAATTGTAAGCTACACGCCTGTCCATAATAGTTACAGTGCCACTCAGAGCTTTAAATTTGAAAGGCACTGCCACTGCGCCCGTCACCCTGAGACATAAGTTGATAAGTCCCATGTGCCTGTAATTTCACCAGCAACCATACTTTTCGAAACTGGAGACGCAATAATGCTTACATTACTGCTTGGCGGCAGAAATAGGTAAGGTTGCGTACTTCCGGGACAACTCTTTCACAAGTATATCACGGAGAGTGTGATGGAATCGCACGGTTTGATTTCGACTTCTTCTTTCTGTCAACGCGGACTAGACGTGGGCTGGGGTTCCACCCCCATGTTGTTCATATTCCAAGGATTTATCAAGCGTTTCATTTCCACATTTATATGACGAACGGCTAAGGAGTTGAATTTGGCCTGATGACTGATTCCTCGAATGCTATAACTTGGACCGTTAGAAGGCACGAGTGAGTTATTTTGACGATTTTTATTTCAAAGATCCCCGGGTTAGGTTAGTTAGTTAGTATAAATAACAATATTAAAAAATACATATATATTTAAGCTTAAAAGAATGTAGGTGCAGTTTCCATCAGGAGAGATGGAGGTCCAATGCGCACTTGTTTATTTATTAAAAAAACCTCTCAGCCTACTAAATCTGACAAATGACACCAGGCGCTCACTACGAGGGAAAAAAGGAACCTATGCACGTACTCAGGCAGGTGAAAATGACGTTGCCCACCGTGTGCAGTCGTGCGGAACCGAATGCTGGGGTTGTCCAGGGATTGTAATGTAAATGAAAGACGTGCACTGTCGGCGATACACTCGCACTTATCGCGTAATCTTGAGCGATTAACAGATCTTGCGACATAGCGTAGGATTCCTTGCTGAAATTTTGTTATTTTTTGTTATATTCACGCAACCTGACTCCACATAAACTTTCTTGAAACAATAGACGTTTCTAGTAGTCTTTCTTTGTTATATCTTATGTTAATTGATTTAAATAAACTTAGCCTCTATTTAAATAAATTCCTCGGAATATAGAAGACATTCCAAGCAATTTCATTCATATTGGTCGGAATCCAGTCAGAATTGAACTGTAAGTCACTGAATAGAATTTTCACGGCTGATGTCGTCGCGAATACTCTGAAACCCAATTCAATCCTTTCAATGCATTCATGCATAACGTTTTGTCATTGCATTTAGCTGTCTGTTTTTTTTTTCACTTTGATGAAATGTGGAATTCCTGTTTTTCATTCGTCGTCGTCATCATTATTGGGAAGAGAAAAGTAATTTTTTAACATAATATAAATACGAGGTATAAAAATAAGCTAGTTGTTCTTGACAGTCGTTTCCACAAAATCATAAATTCGTTTAAGGAACAATGTGTACGCTTCTGTAATAAATAACATTCCGGTTTATAAATGTAGTGAAGCAAAAACAATACAGCTTTTGCGTACTTGGATGACAAAAATCCGTGGTAGCCAAGCCCTACGTGGGCTAGGCGCCCAGGTGCAATCAATACGATATTAAGACGGCCTCTACTAGGCACGTGATCGAGATGGAGAACTTGCAGTTATATATTCTCCAGTAATCGGAAATTGATCGTGGGAAACAATAGCCTAAGGATGCGTATTAATCTGACGAATGCGGCGCGATCGCGCTGCACGCGCACTGCAAGCGCGCTGCACACGTGCTGCATGCAGTTAAATACATGCTAATATATGTAGCGTGCGAGAGGCGCGCAAACCTGTATTCGCCGCACACCCTACACCATAGGTAAAGCCGGCACTGCCCGAGAATATTTTGCGCTGAATTAGTCGACGGGACGAACAAGTCGTGCATATAACATTGGCAGTGGCACTCAGAGTTTTCAATCGCATAGATCTTTTAGGCACTGCCACTGCACACGTCACCTTGCGATATAAAGTTAAGGATTCCCACGTGCCTGTAATTTCACCACCACCGTATATCTTCAAAACCGAATTACAGTGGTCGCCTAGCTTTGGCCAAATTAAAGGGAAGGTAGAAATAAGAAAAAGGTAAGGAAATTAGTAGGAATGGCTGTAACAAACACAATGATATAAAAACACAGGTACAATACTGTGAAACTCCCTTGACTTACACTTAAATTACATGCGGATATGCTTATGGAAGGATATAAAACAATGACGAAGAAAAAGAATTAGAGAACGATTTAAAATTTCATAATCTCAGTACAGAATACTAAAAAAACCGACCTCAAAAGTACATGGAATTACATTTGCCGAGTCGTATTGAAATCGGTTACCGGAAAGTGCGCAAATTCATAACCCCACTACACGGAACTTGACACAGGAAATAATAAAAATCGGTTCTAACTACTCAAAGTATATTGAGAGAGAAAAGCACCTTGAATTGGAGAATAGCAAAATCAACCGTTAAAATAATTGCTCCTTATAAAAAAATGTAACCGTAAAAAATCCAGATTTAATGTTATGGTTATCACCGCACCAAGTTTCTTACCACATAAAGAGTTGATACTACCTCAGCTCAAATTAAACTTTTTCCCGTACAAATACGGTTCATTTTGCTTAGATCGAACGGCAGGGACATTGGCTTTATTTCAGAATTTATTTATTACAAGCGAACTTAAAAACGTATGTCGTATATGTACGTTGTTACGGGGTGCCTCTAAATAAAAGAAGGAATACCCTTGTAAACAAAATTTATTTGGGCGCGGTTCGTTATTTTAAAACCCAACGGTTCTGTTTAGTTCAGTTGATATTGAAAAAATAATTAGTATATGTAGAGTACCTATTGAATACCGCGGTTTTCTTGTAAAATTTCTAAGTAAGTTTGTGTTTTTTTTCTATCGTGAAAATTTTTAGGTATCGTGTTTTCACACAGTATATCAATCTAAGGGTCGTATTCTAGAACTCTACTCAATGCTCTATTAGGGTCGTATTTCCAGTGCAATCCTGACTTGAACATTGAGTAGAGTTCTAGAATACGACCCATAGTGTATCCTTAATTTTACTATATATTTTTTCCAAAGTGATTTCTTCCACACTTCCACTGCCATTTGAGTTTGTGTAGACTCTTAAATTTATTATTTTTTACTTTGGATAGTTGGGATCTCTAGTGTCTGCCTACCTCAATGGAAATCCATAGATGTGACTATTTATTCTAGTGATGCGACGGAAGTCTCATAACGAAAACAGACTACAATAAAGATTTCAACAAAATAGTTGTTCCACTTAACACTACACAATTAAAGTTCCGTTTTAAAAGGCGCGGAAACAGAAATGGAAACTGATGTTAATCAGTTGCATCACTAATTTAGTTAGCCCTCATAGGGAAACCCTGTATTGAGGGTGCCATGGATACACTGAAATAGTACCCTAGAATTAACATTGTATTTTTGCTACACTATGAAAACAAAACAAAACGCATTGGATTTTTACGTCCTTATCATAAGTGCCATAGAGTTTGGTTTCGAATTTTAAGTGAAAAAGGAGCTGTGACATTGTCGGTATCCAGAAATCGCGTGTTATGCAAAATGGATATTTATTCATCAAAACACCGCCTTCACAGAAGTGGTCCCTTTTCATTTCACTCTATTAATAATTAACGCAAACGTAATTAATTAATATACATAGAGCGGTTACTAAGGAACACTGTACAATTTTGATTATAAGTAAGGAAAGTTATTGTTATGTGCTCTTTTGTAACAGGACTCAATAATAACACGATATTGGTATTAAAAAGAGGGAGACCGAGGAGATATATGCGTTTCATCGTTTGCGCTGTACGACCGACTGACTTGCATTGTAACCAATAAAGGAGTCGAATGCAAAACAGATGCAATAGCCCTGTGGGTTGTGCCATTATTTGTTACATATATTTAAACCATTTATTGTCACACTCATAACAAAAAAGAAATAATAATTCGCAGAAATGAGAAAAAAATTAGTTTTTTTATACAATTTACACAACATAATTAACTCAGGAAAATGTTGAAATCAGTTTGAAATGATTTCAACCCCAATTTTCAGCTCGACCCGTAGCTTTACGTGGTCGATCACACTCACAAATCGCAAAAAAACATCAATATGAATGATGTTTACTACAAAATGATTAATAATGTGTAAAAAAATATTTTTACTATTTTACGTACATAATACCTCCAATGAAGGTTCATTTCACGCCAACTTTATTTTTTAGTAATTTTCTGTGATTTTTATAAACAGCCATATTTATTTACTAATATTATGTTTCACGAATTTTGCGAAAAAAAAAGAAACAAAAAAACAAGATTTGAAAAATAAACAGAGCAGGTCCGAAATTTTTTTTTTTAATTACATCAAGCGACAGGACGAACAAGTCGTGTGCCATGGTAAGCTAAACGCCTGTCCGTGATAATTACAGTGCCACTCAGAGCTTTAAATTGCAAAGATCTGAGGGGCACAGCCACTCATCCTGAGACCTAAGTTGACAAGTCCCTTGTGCCTGTAATTTCACCAGCACCGTAATGCTGACATTACTGGTTGGCGGCAGAAATAGGGCTGCTAAGTTGACGTATTGTTCATTGGAGGTATGGAATATGTTGTTAAATAACGTAAATGCTTTTTAAAATGTAGTGCATCCCTTACAAGACGATGATGAATAAACAAATCGAGTTCTTAGGTGTTCACGATTGTTACACGTTAAATAAAAATATAATAAAAATATATTTTCATCACACTTGCATTTTAAAGCTGTTGAGCTTTAAAATCAC